ATGTGCTTGAAACATAATGCGTGCTTCCTTTGAAACCGTATGCTGCTTGGATGTCCTGCTTTCCTTGAATCTAGTTTAGAAGAGGCATATGTTCACTGATACAAGAACATGCATACGGGGACACTCGATCTTTTGGTCGCCATCTTTGAGGTATGCCCACTTTCGGATAATTGAAAAGTTTCTCCATATGTGGGATTAATTGTGACAGTATGTAAACTTATGCACGTCCATTTCTTTCTTCTTCTTTTTTGCATATATACCCCCTTAAATCATGGGTATTTGCAAAACTACCATTCAAATAATCAATTTTGAAAAAAAAAAATTACCCTCAAAATAATTAATCATTAACTTTGATAAACTAATTTGTAATTGTAATGTTAAAATTATCAACAAAATAGTCAAATTTTTATTACCAAGTTGCTGATTTGTTGATTTTAGGGGTATTTTTGCCCAAAGTTAGATTATTTGACGGGTAGCTTTGCGAATACTAAGATTTAGGGGTATTTTTACAGATACCTAGGATGTAAGAGGTATATATGCAAATAACCCTTTTTTTAATACCATGCAGCTATATTGCTCTGTTAGTTCTCTCAGTGGGAAGCCATATATGTATTATCGTATTTCCATAGTTGCTTGTTTGACGAACAATGAACGATATCAAAGAGAAAACAACTAGAAAAACGCAACTAGAAAAATGCAAGGATTTAATAAGGTTCAGCAATTAATTTGATTACCAACGTCCTTGGAGGATAACCAGGTCACAATTCCACTAAGGGGGTGTTTGGTTCAATTTCTAGAAATTATAGGAAATGTTTTCCATCCAAAATATGATTTCATTGTATTTCTTTAAAAAATTATAGGAAAAGTTTTAAGAAGTCAAAAAAATATCAATTTTCTTGTTTTTTATACTTTGCTTGTTTTGTTCAAAACAAGAAAATGACTCATAACTTTATAAAAAAATAACAAGATTTCCTTTTCTTTTGTTTGGTTACATATGCCAAATTTATAGAAAAGTGTCAATTATCATATTTATCACTTTAATGACTAGTTTAACGGCTAGTTTCACATTATTAAACCTTATAAAATACTTCCATTCTTCTATCGTTTTACACTTTCAAAAAAATATTGTCACAAATTGTTCCATAGGATTTTGCCCACTGCCTCAACTTGGAGAGGGCTGTAAAAGTTCAGTAACATGGATTTGAGAACGCAGACCTTGCCTCCCACAAAGTGATAATAAACTTATGAGCAACGTCCATAGTGCTGGCGATCATGTTAAATCGTCACAAACCCAAATTACAAATGCGAACGAGATCCCCTCAGTGTATACTCATGCATAAGTAATAGATCAAGTATTCAATGACATCATATACGATGTTCTCCGCAGAAAAGCTTTGTTTTTTTCTTATTTCATTTTCAGATCGAAAGCCATGGACTGGACTCGACCACCGAGCTTATATGTTGAGCTTACATTATAAAAGACATATCACTAGAAGTATGATCGCTCACAATTTCAACATATTCAAGCCTTGTACCATCGAATAATTTCCTAATATTCATACACGGGAAGAATATGTCCCACGTCTCGATAAAATCTGCAACTTTGAAAAATGAAACCTGTTTATAACACGCTTAAACCTATTATTCATCATATATAGTTGCTTAAACCTATTTACGATAAGATTGAAAAATGATTATGATTTCCGTCGACTTCACGGCACGTATTCAATGAAACCTGTTTATAACACGCTTCGACGACAACCGGGGATGCAATTGAAGCCCAAATATCAGGAAATCATACAACTATGCGTGCATTCAAACCATCAATCACCCTGCTGTATCATGCAGACTACACCAACCTTGTATATAAGTTGCAATCCACCAAGAAAGGGCATGGATCAGAAGTGCATATAGACATCTACAAGAAGTATCATAACATTATTAAATCATTAAAAACACAATATCATCGAACCACCCCAGAAATGTTCAAATCTCAGCTTCGAACCTCATGCCAGCAGCAAAAAGCTTGCATATTTACTGGAAAAACAACCCCAAAGCTCGACAACGAGCACAAATTTCAACCAAAAAACCCAATAATAGAGAGCTAAACAAGCTCGAATCAGCATACAAACTAGAAAAACAGCCCCAAAGCTCGACAACGAGCACAAATTTCGACCAAAAAACCCTCATATTCTAGCCGTTTTTTGACCGTTTTTAGGGGTAAAACGGTCAAAACGCACGTTTTGGCCGTTATGGCCGGGCCGGGCTGGCCGGTCCGCCCGGCCCGGCATTCCAGCAACGCGTCATCAGGTGACGTGCGGGCCGGGTCCGCGGTCCGGGCGCCCGGCCCGACTTTGGTTGCCCTGCAGAAGCACTATTCGGCGGCTCGGGATCCGAACACGGGTACGCTGTTTTCGCGCGGTCGTCCGGGGAACCGGCCCGCTCTGGCCCGCGGTGTCCAGCAAAACCCGAGCGGCCAGGCGGTGAGCTTTTTGGACAACCCTAACCTTAACACAATTTTCCCAAATAGTATATACTACTTATTAAATTGTAAACAAATGTCGCAGAAAATTATACAAATACTGTTTATGAGAATTTGACGAAAAGGATGACACGATGAGTTATGCTACAAGCTTTTATTTATATTATGGGCATTGCTACAGGGACCCCTAAATAAGGGGACCCCAATGGGACAGGTGAGGTGTCAGCACCTGGGGGTGCGATTTACTGTTCATGAACAGTAAATCGCACCCCCAGGTGCTGACACCTCACCTGTCCCATTTGGGTCCCCTTATTTAGGGTCCCTGGGGCATTTTTCTTATATTATGTCCTTGCACAAGAAGAGAGAGATTACATACTCTATGAACTCTTGTAGTAGTATGCTACTTACTGCCTCCTAAGTTTGATATTAGCAGAAACATCCTAGCGTTAAACATCGTTAGAGGCACGGAGCAGATGAACTCTCTATATTAGCTCGATTTGCGATTGTTCGTGGACCAGAATGTTTCTGGCAACCTAGTGTGCTGAAAAACATCATGACAGCTTGCATCATAATGCATAACATGATCGTTGAAGATGAACGAGATTGTCAATTGGACAACAACTTCGACTTTACTGATTCGGTACCAGTCGTTGAACCTTCTCATGTGCAGACGGTGCCTCTAAGTGAGTTCATCCAAAATCATCATCAGATCAGGAACACACAAACACACAAATCACTAAAAAATGATTTGATCGAGCATCTGTGGCAGCTCAAGGGATCCATCGCCGAGAATTAAGTTTCTTTATGTCTAATGTAATTTCAGCAAAGAAGTTCAAGTTGTTGTACTACGCCAATTTTATTTTTTAATAAACTAGTTGTTTTCATTCAATGTCAAAATTTTCAACTTCAAGTACAATCATAAATCTAATACAAGATAATATTTGATAATTAGGAAGAACTAATGAGGATGCGATGCGAGTACAATATATGATAATTAGGAAGAACCCTTAGACATCCACCTCTCCAATATCTCTGCCTGACGCATTTCAAAGTATTGTCGTTGAACTGAATTGAGTGTTGAGAGATCCATCTTCATGATATCGTCATCTTGTTTCTTCTGTTTTAACTCCATTTTTTGATTGGTGGTTTGCTTCATCCACGCGAAAGCCTCTACCATGATGGACTTAGCGGACTCAGAGTTTTTCACATTTTGTTTCCTTTTGAGCTTTGCCATTTTCCTCCCTTCAGGCCTTGCTATAACATCATCCGAGTCAGTGTTCAACTTATCTTTGTGTTGCCCCGTACCTTGGACCGCGTCTTGGCTCGTGTTCAGCCAAGCAGACACAAGAAGCTTATCCTCGTGGACAGTCCAATTTTCGGACCGCGTGTAAGCTTTCTTCTTCTTTGTGGTCGGTGTTTCTTGGGATGACACTTGTTGTGTTGCCGATTGCGAGAACTCGATGGGGTTACATTCTTCTACGACTTCTGTATAGAACGACGGGTATAAGGTCGATCCTTCACCGGTAAGGAGTTGCGAATAAAAGTTTTGGGAGGGATCCATGATATTTGTAATTTGATAGGGAAATATAGAGTTTTTTTTATGAGAGAGTTGTGTGGAATAATTTGTGTAGTGAATTGAGAATTTATAGATGATTTTTTACTGTTCATACCAGTTTTTTTAAATCTCAACGGCTAAATTTTTCAAACTCAACGGCTCATTTTTAACGGCTCATTTTGATAATTGTTCCGCTCCCTGGCCTCCTATAGAATCGGGTATCTATTTTATTTCATTATTATATCTAATATTTTATGCTTTGTATCTCGGCTCCCTCAAACAAAGCAGTACACCCAATTTAAAAAAAAAAAACAAAATGAAAGAGACGGAGGAATCTCTTCATCTGAAAAATGGGCTCTCCTGTAAAGAACAAGGGCAGCAAGCTCCCAAGCCCGCTCTCAAGGCCTACGTGGAGGTGGGAGCCTCCTGCATACCCTCCAGCAATCTCCTAAACGCTCCCAAGCTCATCTCCTTAGGCTGACGTGGCATTTTAATAGTTGGGAGCTCCCAAGCGCTCCACAAATTTGTGGAGCGCTTGGGAGCTCCGATGGCTGCAAGAGCCACGTCAGCCTAAGGAGATGAGCTTGGGAGCGTTTAGGAGATTGCTGGAGGGTATGCAGGAGGCTCCCACCTCCACGTAGGCCTTGAGAGCGGGCTTGGGAGCTTGCTGCCCTTGTTCTTTACAGGAGAGCCCATTTTTCACATGGAAAGCAAGACCCAAAACCCTCTTCAGAATTCGATTCAAATTGAATTCAACAGAAGAAACCAAAAATGCTCGACAATTCTATCACAGATTACCTGTTCCCTCCTTCTTCTCAAAACTCTCTCTCAGGTTCGTATACTTTCTCTCTCATTTTTCTTCTAATTTCCCTTCTATTTAAACTAGTTCTAAAGTTCAATTACTCAAAATATCACAGCTTGGGAGCTCCGCATTGCCTAGACATTGGGCAATTGAGAAGGAGGAACAGGATTGGATTATTGGTTCCTACAGTGCAAGGTATCATTTCTGGTTTTGGTTATATTTCTCAGATGGGTTTGGCTTGGAAACTCAATGCCCATCTTCTGTTTGTGGTAATGTCTCTATGTAATTTTGATCATTTTATATTTGTATTTGGTATTTTGTTATGATTTCTGGGAAAATGGTGCACTTGATTTCACCCATATGCTCTTGGATAATCTCAGTAGAATGTAGAAGGCATTTTGCTTCACTCTTTCACCCATAAGCCTTTGGCCCGCAAAATAAGCTTATAATTGGAACTTGTTCAATCAATCAGAACCTAAAAGACTACATTTTTCTAGTTATCGGCCTCGTTTCCTAGAGCAATATTGGGTTTACCCATTGGAAAGTCAATTTTTTGCGTAGCTTGACCTTGTCTTTACCAAGGGATAGAAAAATCATGCAGATTGCA